ATTTCATTTTTAAATACTAAGACTCTAAGCTGGGTATAGTAGGGCACACCTTTAATCCCAGTACTTGGAGTGAGTTTGAGACCACACTTGTCTACATAGTGAGTCTGTTGACAGCTGCATAGTGAGACCCTGTCTCGAAAACAGAAATAAATGAGTAAATAAACAAAAATAAAAGGTTTCAAAAGAAAAAAAAAAGACTCTAAAAGAGTGAGATACAATAAAAATATACCCCTCTAGTCTTCTTAAGGATACTTAATATACTTAATAAAAAGAATATTCTTTTGACTTGTTTGAATTTATGCTTTAAATTTTTATTTATTTGCTTGTTTATTTTTTGGGACAGTCTCATATTCTAGACTGGGCTGGAACTTGCTAGATAGCCTAGGATGACCTTGAATTTATGGCCATTTTTCATTACCCCACCTCCATTTCAGTGCTAGGATTATGAGCGAATGCCACCCCCATCCCCATGCTTGGGATTGAACCTAAGACTTCAGTGTGCTAAGCAAGTACTCTTACATTCCAGCCCCTGTGGAGCTGTTTGTTTGAATGTTTTGTTTTAATTTTTAGGAACTGTTTTTTATTGAATTCTGGAATACAAATTTACAAGGTCTCAGTTTTTTTAGGTGTAGTTAGAATTATGTTTACTGAAAGGAGTTCTGTTTCTCTGCACCATAAAACTTGTATTCTATTTTGTTTTCTATTCTATTAAGATCTCTGTCGATTTTGTAAAAGTGCAAATAATTCAGAAGAGCTCATGCAGTATATGTAATATTTATAAACTCTTTTCTGCCTCTAGCATATTCATAAAAATATTTATTTATTTATTTTTTAAATATTTATTTATTTATTTATCATGTATACAATATTCTGTCTGTGTGTATGCCCACAGGCCAGAGGAGGGCACCAGACCCCACCACAGATGGCTGTGAGCCACCATGTGGTTGCTGGGAATTGAACTCAGGACCTTTGGAAGAGCAGGCAATGCTCCTAACCTCTGAGCCATCTCTCCAGCCCCCTCATAAAAATATTTAAATGTCTATGATTTATAGGGAATCTGACAATTCATTTTTGCCAAAATATTTTTGTCTTAGGCAGTAGATGTTAGACTTTTTGAAACTCTGATCTTTTGTATTAGTACCCTTTTAGTATCCTTTTGTGTTTTTTGCCCCACTGGTTTATGATATTTTCCACTATAGAGGGTCTTATGACTGTTGTGCAGCCTGTACTTAATGGTGTATTGACACCTAAGCTCTCTATTGTAAACTTAATTAGCACTTTGATTGTCAGCTGATGAGCAGTCCTTCTGTCTTCTGCACTTGGATGCTGCTCACTGCCAGCTGTGGGTTTAAGGATGGTCTATTTTGTTAACAACATGTGCTTGTGCAGTTGTTTAGCATCAACTCCTACCCCATATGAAAATAGGCATCAGACAAATTTAGTTTTCAATTTTGCTGTCTATGACTTGATTGAATTTAGATGAGTGAAATAGAGTGAATATTACCACAGTTGGGCACATGCATTTCTCAGCTTTGTGATGAGTAAGAAGAAATATAGACCAAATAAAGGTAGAAGATGCTAAAAATGCATTGGTAGCTTATGAAAACTAGCACATAACTAGAAATTTTATAATTTTTAGCTTTGTAAGACACCTCTTTTATTTACTCACCGCTGAGTGGAGACCGGGTAGTCTGGACCACTGGGAGCTGATGTGTGGAAGGTCAATCTATAGAAACCACGGCATGTCTTTCTATAACCTAAAACTGGAAATCAAAGGAAGGCCAGATGTAATGGTACAGGCTTCCAACCCCAGACTTGGGAGTGAGGGCAGCTGGGGCTATCAAGCAATCCCAAACATGCCTGGCTTTGTTTCAAAACACAGAAAACAAATAAATAAGTGGAGTGAGTTGATTATCTTCTGTGCTCCCAGGGAACATGGAGCTTTATGCCCAGGGCGTGCCAAGTCAAGTCTGTTGTTGACGTTCATGGACCAGAACGGCAGCTCACAGCCTTCACCTGCAGCCACAAGAGCTACTCCCCCCTTAGCACCTACCCAGGGCCCCACGCCAAAGGCTGCTCCTACTATATTCTGATATCAGTATGTACTTTTTTGGGAAAAATTATTAGTTTTGTGTGTGTGGACATGCATTGAGATCAGAGGACAGTTTTGCACTTTCTTTCTTTCTTTCTTTTTTTTTTTTTTAATTTTTCGAGACAGGGTTTCTCCGTAGCTTTGGTTCCTGTCCTGGAACTAGCTCTTGTAGACCAGGCTGGCCTCGAACTCACAGAGATCCGCCTGCCTCTGCCTCCCAAGTGCTGGGATTAAAGGCGTGAGCCACCTCCACCCCGCCAGAGGACAGTTTTATGAGTCAGTTCTTTCCCACCTCTTGGGTTCCAGGGATCAGAATCATCAGGTTTTGTAAGGTGCCTTACAAAGCTAAAAATTATAAAATCCTGTTGGGGAAGCATAGGATGCTATGGAAACAGATGTTTTTCTAACATGTTGTTTCTGTGAAACTAGTGAACATAAATCCTGAAATGGTTAGGCGTGGAAGCCCGCAGTTAGACCTGGAGTCTTAGTTAAGTATCACAAAAAACAGATGCTAACTTCGTTGAATGTCTGGGTTTAGAGGAGATACTGCCTCAAATTTCTGTGTACTATACGTAGTATACTTAAAATCTGTTTCTGAAAAAAAGGTGCTAGCCAGGTGTGGTAGCCCATTCCTATAGCAGCACTTAGGAAATTGAGGTAGGAGGGTCCCTGAGTGTGAGGCCAGCCTGGGCTGCAGAGTGAGGCTTATCTAAAAATTACTACTGTGACAATGACAATAATGACAACAAAATAATACAAATGTTACTATATTTTTTTCACATTTTTATCATTTTATTAGAAATAATTTCAAATGGGTTATGAAGAAAACTTATTCACTGAATTTGATGAGTTTTCAAAAAATTCTTTATGAAGATAGGTTCATCAATAAACAGTAAAATATCAGCAGAACTATCATATACTGGGCAAAGAGTCAGGCTGATTCCAAAAGCAACAATGTTACTATATTTTTTAAAGGTTCTATTCTGCTACATTGACGTTCTTAGGGCCTTTTTGCTGTATGGGGGATCCTGCGTGGCAAATGCTATCACTGATCTATGTCCCAACAGTTACAGAAATGATTTTTAATTTACTCAATGTATGTGATGGTCGTTTGCTTGGTTTTAATCAAGTCATGTCACTGTCAGTGCTGGCAGTTGTGGTCTATATGCATGTGGGTGGGGTCCAGGGAATTTATAACATTGAAAGAGACAGTGAACATAGGACTTTATTCTGGGTGACAAGTGGCCAACCTAGCTGGGCTCTACTTTAGTTATGGTAAAGATGGTTGTGTTACTATTTTCGTATTTTTTAATCTAGGACGTAAATCTGATTAAATTTCCTCCACAGGAAGGTTCTAGAAGCTAGTTGTGTTTTCATGGAAAGATCAGAAAAACATTAGGACTCCCATTAGGACTGCGCAGTTTGATCTAGTCTCAATCAGTGAGGTCATTTTAGTGATTCTCGAGCCTGTTTTACCTTTGGCTGCTTTCCATTGAGTCATTTCAAAATGCTTTAGGGGATCCTCTCTGAATAGGGCTTTCCTTCAGCTTATTCCATAACACTTTCTTGGGCTTCCAGATAGGCAGGCATTGCTTAACTGCAGAAATGCCCTGTTCTGAGAAATGCCCTGTTCAGGAATTTCATTGTAGTGTGAACATTGGCATGTACTTACACACACCTAGGTGGCATAGCCTTTGCACATCATTATATAGGGGCCCGTTGTTTGTTATTGAGCCATCTTTATGTAGTGTGTGATGTTACTAGTCTCTGACTGAACTTGGAGCTCACTGATTCAGTTATTGTCCAGCAAGCACCCACCAGGAACCATCCAGCCTCTGCCTCCCCAGCACCGTGGTGAGTGACAGGTGTGTGCTGCTACACCCAGCTTTTTGTGTAGGTGGTTGGGATACTCATGCTTGTGCAACAGGGACTTTAGCCATCTCCCTAACCAAAAGTTTGGCTGCTTTTAAATTGAATTGTCATGCTGTCCTTGAGTTTTGTGTGTTTTTGTTTTGTTGTTATTACTTTGCTGTATTGAGGATTGAACCTTGCACAAGCTAGTTACGCTTTCTTGATACATTGTATGTGTGTTTCCTTGTAAATTTAGCTTTGTTTTATTCTTGTCTTAAGAGTATGCTTTGCAAATATATACTCCCATTCTTTTTAGCTTCCTGAGACAGAATTTCTTGTGGCCAAGGTTAGCTTTGAATTCTTGATCTTTAAATTCTACTTTCCAAGTGCTGTGATTACGGGCACACCAGCTCAGAAACTGAATTTTAATGAAGTCACTTAGTTATTTTCCTTTGGTTTTTGATGCTTTTTGATGTCATGTTTAAGAATCCATTGGTCAACCCAAGATCAGAATATATTTTTTTCTTACAAGATTCTGACAGTTTCAACTTTTAGTTTGGGAACTTTATTCTGTTTGAATTAATTTCTGTATGTGATGTGATTCTTTCGCATGTAGCAATCTTTGTCATACTGTTTCATTTGCCTTATTGTGGTGTTCGTGTCTTGCACCAGAAGGTAAGTAAGTCGTAGGGGAAAGTTTTGGATTGCTGTTTCCTTGCTTTCTTACTGCCTGTGGTGGGTGTACAGTAAATACTTGTTAGGATTTTGATCCTGTTTCTGAGTTCATCACTAATCATTATTAGCATTATGATACTGCATGGTGATATAGTTCACAGTTTGTGGTAATGACATTGTGGAGGTAGTTTGTTTCATAATAAGATTTTAATTTTTTAATTTCCAAAAATAAATAGATTCAGTTACTTCTTAGTGTTCACTTGAAAAAATAACATCTGAGTGTGACCATCTGCTTCAAAAGAGATACTGATATTTCTGTGTTTTCTCCCATCTTTCTTTGTGGAGTTTGCTTTAGTGAGTCACAATATTTTTTTTTTAATAGGTCAAGATGCTGAATTATCAGGGACACTTTCACTTGTTTTGACACAGTGCTGCAAAAGAATAAAGGACACTGTTCAAAAGTTGGCCTCTGACCACAAAGACATCCATAGCAGTGTTTCTCGAGTTGGAAAAGCCATTGATAAGGTATGGAATTGAAGAATTTGAAAAAAAAAAAAGAATTTGTTTTTGTTTTTAATTTCATTTTAGTTACTATAGGTTTGTATGTACGTACGTGTGTGCATGTCATAAGACCATTTGGGAGTCAGTTTTCTTTTTCCACCCATGTGGATCTCTGGGTCGAACTCAGGTCATCAAGATTGGCAGCAAACTCTTACCTAATGAGTCCCTTACCTGCCCCAGAGGAACTGCTTTGTGTTTCTAACATTCTTCCTTTCCCAGTGTTTTGACATCCTTTGCTTTCTCAATTTGTTCTGTGCCATTCTTTTCTTTGCTTCTGATAACTTATAGTTCTTGTTTACTCTGGTACTCATTAAAAGTTCCCTGTTGCTGTTATTTGAGAAATGGAAATAAAAATAAGCCAACAAAACTCTTTCTTTTTATAGCTTTGTTTACCCATTTGCTTATATGACTAGAGTCCTGATGAGTAAAGGTGCAGAGAAATGTTAAGCCACTATGTGGGAGTTTGTTTATAGGAATAAGCTTTGCTGCTTCCTAAGTGTGTCCCTGGCGATGACCCTGTTTCTGTTGTGGGATGATTAGAATAACACCCTTGTATCTGTCTCCACCTTCCCCCTAATTCCTGTCTTCCTGTAGGCAGGCTAGTTGCTCTTCTTCAGTGTTGTCTTCGTGCGAGTGAGTGACATGGTTGTTAGGGGCCAGGCAAGCTACTTTACTTGGGTGACTTCTTTCTTTTTTCTTGTGACATTACTTGATTAAATCATCTTTGACTTAGTGGTTGAATCCTAAGCAGTTTCCAGTTTTAGAACTGAAGCTATTTTACCCATGGGGTTCACAGTTCTGATGGAGGTTAAGAAGAGCTACCCAAGGTTTCTACCTGATGTCTCTGACTCCTCCACCTATTAGGGAGAGTGTGACTGGCCATGACCGTTTTTGTTTATATGCTGTGAACTTTTGAAAGAGGAGGCATAATGATGGAGACCTCTTTGTAGCAAACATACCTCCTGAACATTGCGGAGTTACTTAACCTGTATGTACAGTGAGGGCAGCATAATGCAGATGGCAGAAGAGCCTGGAGGGAGAGTGTGTCCAAGAAACTCATCAGTTGCCCTGGAAAGTATTGAAAGACTAGGCTTAGTGGTGCCTAGATCCGGACAACTTCTAAAGAGATGCATTTGCTGATAGGTGTGATTATACATTAGGACTGCAAGTGACTATGTGACTTAGGGAAGTTTTAGCAGCCTGTCAGAGAGTGATGAACTTGAATTAGTGATGGAAGAGGCTGGGCAGATGGCAAAGGCTGGCAACTTAATGAGTATTCTCTGAAATACCTTTGAGGTTTGAAACCTGTTTGGTAACTTGATGCAATAACATGGCTGTGGAAGTAGGCTTGGTATCAGGATACTGTGGCACCGGAATTTATCAGTTGGTATCTGAAGTGGTTTTCTTATTTATTTGTTTGTTTGTTTTTTCAGACAGGGTTTCTCTGTGGCTTTGGAGCCTATCCTGGAACTAGCTCTTGTAGACCAGGCTGGTCTCGAACTCACAGAGATCTGCCTGCCTGTGCCTCCCAAGTGCTGGGATTAAAGGCATGTGCCACCACTGCCCGGCTATCTATCTATCTATCTATCTATCTATCTATCTATCTATCTAGTATGCAATGTTCTGCCTGCATGTATGTCTGCAGTCCAGAAGGGGGCACTAGATCTCATTATAGATGGTTGTGAGCCACCATGTGGTTGCTGGGAATTGAACTCAGGACCTCTGGAAGAACAGCCAGTTCTCTTCATCTCTGAGCCATCTCTCCAGCCCCCTGAAGTGGTTTTCTGGTACATATGGAGTGGTGGGGACTTGAGAGACAATCTTAAATAATAATAATAATCTATGTATGAGGAGCCTTGTGTTTGCTTAATAAGCTGCACATCTCTGTGGGTCAAAGCATCCTGGGGGTTCTGATGGCATAGAGAGAAAGAACTCTGGGATGCTCCTAAGGGTGTCTGCTGGACCACTGGGCCTGCTGCTCCCTGTAGTTAATGTTCGGGAGTCATCACCTGTTTTGCAGACACCTGTTCATGACAGTGAGAGAGTTACTGCTTAAGAACCTGTGCTTGGAGTGGATGGGTTGGTCCCAGCAGTCTCCTTGGGTTTGTGTGTTTGCTGTGGTAGGATAGATACTTTCTGTCCTGCCAAAATTATCATCAGAATTCTCTTTTGATTTTAGACCGCCTTCCTGCAGGTGACTTGGTGTGCATGGCTTCCTCCAGATGCAGCAGGCTATTATAGACACTACTAAGGGTTGTCAAATATTTTGATTAGTCTTTAAGCAAAGTAGTAAGATGTACTTGGTGCTAAAAATAGAGTATCCTTTGAGAATGAATATCTAGGGAACACATTTATAGTTAATAATTTACATTCTGACCTGGGTTGAGAGAGATATTAGAAACATGTTTCTTATTAGGTATTTTATTTAGTCTCATACTTTTGAGAATTTTTTTATGTACTTGGAACTTATAAGGACTTAAATAACTGAACTATTCTGAAAGAAACAGAATAGCTCCTTCAGAATTTTCTTACTAGGAAGGTAGTTTAAATTCTAGGTACATAGATTCTCATCCAATGTAGGAAACTACAACATTAGTGATACTCAAAGTACTTGCTGGATTGTAGCTCAGCCACAGAGGAAGTCTTGAATGACTCAGTTTTTAGGTATCTCTAAGCACATACTCCCTGTATTTTTGGTATCTACTATGTTGCCTGAAGAGAAAGCTCTTTCCCAACTGATGTTCCTAGATGTGAAGAGGTTTTGTGTGTGCATGAGGAATCTGTAGGCTGTTGTTACATAAGACTCCTCTGGCTTGGTAAGGTTTGCTTTTTTTTTTTTTTTTTCAACTTCAGAGCTTTATTGTGCAGGACAGAGAGCCACAGTTGTGCCTGCCCACCCCCAGACTTTTAAATTGCTATTTCTCTGAGATCCCTGGTGACCCCCTTCATGATCTCCATTGGAGTTTGAAGAGAGTATAACCATGAAGGCTCAAAGCTTCCTTTCTTAAACATGGGCAGTATTATATTACACTTTGCCTTTACATTGGTGTTGAAAACCACACTGGAATTTATCATTAAACTACATTTATTTTTCCTTCTTAAATGTCTTTGCTACATATTTTTACTATTCTTGTGACTTCTTGTTCTTAATTTTGTGGTGTATGCAATGTCTTCCTAAGCCAAAAGTAACTTGGGGTGTCAAGAAAGATACAAAAGTTCCAAAGAAGAATGAAGACATTGTTAAGCCTTATACACTTGACTTGACAAATACATGCAAGCTCTGAGGAGCTTGTTGTAAAGGCGAGGTACATTCATGTATTGGTGGTGAGTAAATAGGATAAAGCTGAAACCACTGTGGTTCAAGGATTGTGGCTTTCAAAGCAAACTGACCTGAGCAATAGATTGGAATGCTGTCTAGCTGCCTCTGAATGCTTTTTTTTTTGCGGGGGGGGGCACATCTCCCTTCAAAGGTGGCAGAAATAGTTGGTTCCTTAGGAGTAGGCTAGATTTGTTGTTTAAAAATCATATTAACAGAGAACAGTCTAAAGTAAAAAAAAATAGACTGTTAAACCCTATGAATAGAAATGAGTATGCAATTTCTACAGATTCAAAACGTAGGGTTTTGGAACAGCACAGAGGAGAACAAATCGTGGCCTTTCTTGAAGGGAAAATGAACAGTTAAGGGACCAACCAGACAGTCCCCATCTATTAGGTGGTCTGTATATTTGTGCAAATAAGACCTAGGGCATTCCCATTTGCAATGGAGCCTTCGGTTAATTGTGTTTCCTTTTTCAGAAGATTCTTGAAAGGATGGTGGCTTAACATCACAGACATACCAGCCGGGGCTAAAAAGTGCTTGTTTTAAAAGCCTGTGTTACTTGTAGTGTGTGTTTCTGCAGAAACTTTTAGTGTAGCCTTTTAAAGTGCCAAGTGATAGATTTTTTTCTTTAATGTTTTAAGTGTTCTTTTTTCATTTTAGTATTAAATTTTTTAAAAGATTTATTTATTATATATACAGCATTCCTTTCATGTATGCCTACAGGCCAGAAAGGGGCACCAGACCTCATCACAGATGGCTGTGAGGCACCATGTGGTTGCTGGGAATTGAACTCAGGAACTCTGGAAGAGCAGTCAGTGCTCTTAACTGCCAAGCCGTCTCTCTAGCCCCAGTATTAAATTTTTTTTATTCTCTGAAAATGTTAACAGAAAAGAAGTTTGTATTATGTAAGAAATTTTCTGGCTTTTTTGTTATTGTGGATATAAAACATTGAAGTTTTTACTTTAATGTGTTGGCTATTAAAGTATTTTAGCCCTTGAATTCTTGATTTTTTTTGTTTTTTAATTGAATTTATTCATTCACTGTTTGCTAACAAATAGTGTGTTGGGCTGTTTTTAATTTTCTACCTCTTCTTAGAATTCTCTTTAGGGTTGTTGGGGGGCTAAAATGAATAATAATGAGATTTTTAAGCATCTAAAGTGTATGTTACAGTTATGTGCTAGGAATCTTAACTAGTGTTGTAAAAGTGCTAGGTTTTCTCTTTTTTTTTTTTTTTTTTCCTCTCTCAAGACAGGGTTTCTCTGTGTAGCAGCTTTGGGTGTCCTGGAACTTGCTTTGTAGACCATGCTGGTCTCGAACTCAACAGAGATCCGCTTGTCTCTGCCTCCTGGGATTAAAGGCGTGATGGGTTTTCTTAACATATAAAATAATAGAAAAAGTTCTGAGGCAAGTGCAAGTTGAATTGTGAAGGAAAGATTGTACTTTTGGTGATTCTAAGGTTTGCAGAGTTAGTATCTTAAATATGGCTTGGAAGACTAAGATTTGAAAGAAGAAAGCAAGGAAGTGAGCTTTTCTGTTAGGATAGATAACAAAAATATAACCCATGTTAAAGACTGAAGGACTGTTGGTCCTCTTCCTCATATTGAGGAGAGGTCAGGCTGGTAAAGATGTATGGATTATGAATTTG